CGTTGGGTTCTCCGGAGGGAGGCGAGTTGGGTGGGGGGGGGGCCGCCGGCCGGAAAGAGTGATTTTAGTCTCAAGTTTCCACTTCTCTATTAAAGCGATCCTGGTACATTTGTTCTCTAGGATAACACTGTTCTACTTTCCCCTTGGTTTAGCCAGTTAGGGGTCTGTGAGATTGGGGAAGGTGTAGGAAAAACTGTACAGAGGATAGAAAATCAAGAGAAGAGTGATGAAAGAAAAACTGAAATTTACACAATGATTAAAAGTTGTATTCACACATTAAATTATGAGCTCTTATGGAAAAGCTTGGGTTAACTAGAGGAAATAGTAGACCCGCTAGTTCACTTAACCAAACTAGCAACGAACCAATGAATCTAACAAATTTAATGGAGTTAAACAAACTCGACCAATCAATCACATTCCAACAAACTAGAAGATGGCCTCCACTTAGATATTTGGGGATACTTGGTTGTGAATTAGTTCTAAAAAATAATTGGATTTTTCTTTTTATTGGTACGCATGGGAACAATTTGTTTATCATTCTGTTCAAGAAGCTGAAAACATATAGATGATGATAAAAATACGTATTACCTTCAAGTCAAAGTTTCTACATTCTTCTATGACCTGTCAATCAGTATCAAAGTAAAATTGTCAATGTAATTTTGTATCGTAAAATACAGAGACACACATTACATTACATATATGTCTAAAATGATTTACCTGCACCTTGTCGGCGCCAAATACCTCTCGAAGCATAGCCCGTATCATGGATCTCTTTCCTACACATGGTGGTCCTTCAAATATAAAATGACTGCAGCCACACCCTTCTTTTACCTATGCAATTATCAAAACCAAATTTATTTTCATCTTTTATCCCAGAGGAATATGCTGTTGGGAAGTTGCTATTTTCTTATCAGAATTTTTTGAAAAGTGTGCCAACTATATGTTAGTTCCACTATTGCTAGTAAGTGGTAATAGATAAGTTTATACATGTACTTGTCCTATTAAAGTATTTAAAAATGCAGCTGTCTCTTAGTAATTTAGTATTCAAGTAAAGTATATCTCACCATTGCTTTGAGCTGAAGTGCTTTATCTTTGTTGCAGATGAATTCTTCCAAGGTGGTGGGCTGGTATTTGGTTGCCCATGTATACTCGTACGCATTTCCACCCTCTTTACATTGTGATTCTGATGCAACAACTGTTGGTTCAGAAACAAACAAGGCCTTCTCCTTTTCATGCTCTTTGAGTTCCTCCACCTTCCACACATCCATCTCTACTTCATCACTTGTTTCTGATACTCTCTCCCTCAATGGCTTCTCTTCAATAACATCAGCACCACTCATCAACTTCATTTCCTCCAAAATTGTTTCATCTAACACACCCTCAACCTTATCACTTGCTTGCTCAAATACAATCTCCCTCAATGGCTTCTCTTCAATCACCATCTGAACATTCTCATTGGGATCCTTTGTCATCCATTCCATCTCCTCCAAAACCATTTTCTTTGCTTCCTCTTCTAACACACTTCCAACCTCATTTGCCTCTGACGCCTTCTCTCTCAATGGCTTCTCTTGATCCAGAGTTGTTTGGTGAGCAATTTCTTGTAATGGCGCAGTAGCCCTGACAGGCTGGAGTTGTTGAAAGAGAAAGCCATCATGATCCTCGATAACCAAGTAGTCGTTCAAAGTAAAGTCAGCGTTGATGATCTTTGGGGGCGATGAAGAAGTGTTTTGTGCTGAGAGTTTGTCCATGATGACTTTGAAAGTTTTGATAGCAGGAGGAGGTTCAACAGGTGGTGCATGAAGCACAAGGGAGTAATCAGTGAGAAGGCCTCTATAGTAAGGACTAGAAGAGTAGGAAAAGGAGTTGTTTGCAGGAATATGATGAGGGCCAGGGGTCCAAGGATCGATAACCTTGGAATAATCAGTAAGACCTTTATAATATGGGCTAGAGAGGAGATGAGTGGGAATAGGAGCATGAGGCGCATGGCAGTGAGGGATGGTGTTTGTATCGACAATAGCAAGGGATTGGTCAGTGAGACCCTTGTAGTAAGGACTAATGGTTTTGGAGGTGTGGATGTCGTATACGCGCATGTTGAGAGATGGAAATGGAAAGGAACGAGTGTTTTTCCTCCTACTTCTCCCACTTTTGGAGCGAGGAGTCTTGGACAGGCTCTGATCGGAGACTGTAGGTTGCTTCGTTGTTGGGCTTGCCAATTGCATTGCCACTTTGTGTTCACCAGTCACCATGCCTGGCTCACTTCAAACATATGAGTCTCTCAATCACCATTTCTACTCGGAACTTCCTAAGAATGCGATAATAACCATGCAATTACCTCGTTAATCACTAGGTCCACTTTTGTCTTCTCACTAGCCAAGTCGGCAAAATGGGTTTTCTTTCTTTCTTTAAATCCTAAAAAGGTTTTAGACCGGTATAAGGAATCTTGGTTGTGTAATCAAAGTGTTCAAGAAGAAATAAGAAATAAAAGAAAGTAAAGCTTTACATTAATGCAATAATGTTGAAAGTTGGGTCAAGTACTAAAATTCTAAAAATGGTACAAGAAAACTCTGAGTGAAGTATAATCTAAAGCTTTTAAAGAGTCTTACAAAAGTATCAAGACATAGAACGAAGAATCTAAGTTATATATTGTTACCGCCGGGAAACACTCTTATTTTGATGCTCTCTGACACTTGATTTTCGAGGTAATAATTTCCCGAATCCTTATCCTAAAAGAGGGGGAGATACTTGCAAAGACATTTTGGTGTTCAAGTAATCAGCATTCGATATAGAATAATAAATATTTTAGTATTAAATAATCATATCTACCTTTTCTTGTCGCATAAATATCGTATTTATAGTGAGATACTTGGACTAGATGGACCTTTTAAATTCAGAGCTTAATAATTTATGTTTTATGTTCTAGTTAGGATTAACGTGAACTCTTATTATTTAACCTTGATTAAGACGGAATAATCTTAACAAGGTTGGCGGTACATATATATTTTCCAAAAGTAAACGAAGAAAAGTAAAAGATTTGGACCACGTTAAATGTATTACAGATGAAGAAGGAAAATTTTTGGTCATAGATCGAGATACGTATCAGATGCAGATGGCAAAGTTAATTTTACAAGTTTTTCGATGATGGACAAAGATGTACTAGGAATTTGGAAGAATCTAGAAATCCAGGAAGACGATAAAATTGGGCCTACTATCATAGAATACGGATTGGAGAAAATAAAAAGCATTTTAAGAGGATGGATTATTGTAAAGTATTGGACTTTTCCTTCTCAAGGTGTGCATCCATAAAATCGTGAATCATTTTTCAATTAAGTGTGCAACGCGTGAACATTCTTTTATTTATTTATTTATTTATTTATTTTATTTTTATTAGATGCATCAATAACTATTTTATTTGGAGGAGAGGAAATTGCTTCATATGAGATTTTTTTCCTGCCTCATTTGTGCTTTAATATATATTTTTTGTGAAATCTTAGAGTCTTTATGTAGCGGTTGTGAGCATGATCTTTTTTATTACATAGCAAATTATAATTGCATCTCTTATTTTTTTCGTGATTATTCTTAATATTTTTTTTTATTATAGTGAGATCTTTTAAAAGTTGAAAATATGTTATAAATACACCTTTGTATTTTTTTGAGATTACATCCAATATTTCTTTATTATTTGGACTCATAATGAGTCTCTTTAAAAGTTAAAAAAATATTACATTTGTACTCTTTTTTTTTTAAATTACACCCAATATTCATTTGTTATTTGAATTTACAATGAGATTTCTTAAAAAATAAGTAATTAAAAATGATAAAACAATAATAGTGACTAAAAAAATAATCCTAAATTTTAAAAGAATGAAAAATAAAAAAATTACAAAAATTAAAATAAAAAATTACTTATTTTATGGGTATATATATATATTTATTTATTTATGCCATTTCATAAATACAATAAATGAATTTATAATAAATCAAGTGAGATAATACATATTTAAAAAAGAGTAAAATAATCTTAACACAATGAGACTTCTTAACAAATAAATAGTTAAAAATGATTAGACAATAGTAGTGACTAAAAAAATAATCCTAAATTTAAAAAAAATAAAAAACAAAAAAAATTATGAAGATTTAAATTCAAAACTTACTTATTTTATGAGTGTGTGTTCGTATATATATATACATATATACATACATATACACACAAATATATATATATATATATATATATATATATATATATATACTATTTCATAAATACAATAAATGAACTTATAATAAATCAAGTAAATCAAGTAAGATAATACATAATTAAAAAAGAGTAAAATAATTTTAAAATAAAATTAAAGATAAAAAGAAGTTAAGATAAAAAAAATATATAATTATTAAATAAATAATTATTTTTTTAAGTAAATTACACTTACGGGAATGTTAGATACAATCTTAAAAAAATATAAAGGATGTATGTTTAATGTTTTTTCAACTTTTAAAGAGTCATAGAAATGTAAGTTTAATATTTTTTTTTAACTTTTAAGGTCTTGCTAAAGTCAAATAACAAATATTAAATACAATCTCGAAAAAAGATAAAAAGTAAGAGAGTAATTTATTCTATCATTTATGGTTATTAATTTGTTATCGATTGTTTGGATGTAAAACTAAAGGGTACCTTTGTTTATATATATATATATATATTGAAAATCCCAGGAGGCAATTGGATCACATGTTAGAAGGAAGAAAGTAAAAAATTTACATTATAAGAAGGGTGTTGTGATTGATCATACTCTTATGCTTGTGTTTTTTGGATAAGAAAATCCGTATATGTCTGTATGCAATGAACGATGGAGTCCTTATATACTGTATGGTGGTCGACTAGGTCGAATATCCGAGCCCGAGAACCTGGATCCGCCGACCACTCGCGAAGCAACCAAAACACTAAGGCCGAATACCCGAGAACCCCGACCACTTGCGGATCGAACGACACGTTTGGTGCGCTCGGCCGAACCCCATACCTGCGCCAGGATGATTACGAAAAACTTAATTAACATAATATATCGGATTAACCCACCTAATTTTTCGGGGCCCAATCCCTAATCACGGCCCAATAAGAACACCTATAAATAGGACCCCAACGAGGTATGTAAGCACTTTTCAACTACCGCATTTATTACGCCGAACACTTACTTGAGCGTTGGAGTGTCTTTGTAGGCACCCCCCTCACATCAGACTACCCGGATAGGAACGAGAAAATCGAGACCCAGGATCAGACCCGACACAACAAGGATAATTGAAGTGTGTATCCTAATACAGGAACATTTGGCGCCCACCGTGGGGCCGAAGAGACATTTTCAGCCCCTTAGAACTCTACGACTGAGACCGAGGCATGGTAGTAACTCGCAAAGGACAATCAATGACGACTCAACCAATCCCAAACCCCGAAAGCAATCCCGTTATGACCAATCAACAACGTTACCCGTATGGAATGCCTCAAACCAAACTGGAACCTGTGACACAAGAGGCCCGACCGAACACTAACCGAGACCAACCTGACCTCCAAGATGACTTGCGTGCATTGCGCGAGGAAATGGCCGTTATCCGAAGGCAAAGAGAGGCCGACGCAAGGGAGTTGGCCGAACTACGCCGACAGAACGCCGAGCTTCGAAGCCTTAACCAGACATATGTGCCGTCAACTCCTACCCTCCAAGAGGAGTCAGCATATCACGCCCCAACCGACCATGTGACCCGAACCCTGGTCACCTCTTTGATAGCTAACAAGGCCGACACCACCATTCACTCCCTAAGGCATCCTTTTTCCCGAAGAATAATGGAGGCAACCCTGCTAGACCATTGGAAAAGCATGCCGATCGAGAAGTACGATGGGTCATCCGACCCTGAGGAACATTTGAACGTTTTCTTGACTCAAGCGACCCTCTCCACTCAGGACGACTCGGCTTTGTGCCGAATATTCCCCACGTCGCTGAAGGGAAGAGCTTTGAGTTGGTTTACGAGATTACCGAGCGCCTCCATAGACTCATTTAGCGAGTTGTCGTCCCAGTTCATCTTACAATTCGCAACGAGTAAGCCGTACAAAATAACCTCTTTAGCCTTGGCGGGGGTCCGTCAAGAACAGAAGGAAAGCTTGAGAAGCTTCATGGACCGATTCAACAAGATTGCAATGGAGATTGGCGATCTTAATCCTGCCGTGGCGTTGGACCGGCTAAGCACGGCCCTCAGGCCGAGACCATTCGTAAACAGCTTGTGTAAGAAGCCACCAGTCGACATGAACGACCTCCGGCGCCGAGCCGAGAAGTACATGCAAATGGAAGAACTTGCGGAGACCCGGAATCAGGCCAGGGTCGAAGAAAATTATACCAAAAAGAATCTGGCCGAGAGCAGGAGAGAAAGACGAACGCCTAGCCCTCGAATACTCGCCCCCCGAGAGGACCTCGCTACACGGCGTACACTCCCCTCAATGCGAGTAGAGCCAAAGTGATGGAACAGGCCCTCGCATCAGAAATCCTTGCGATGCCGAAAAGGGCGAACACCCCTCCCAGAGCCGATAAAGCCAAGGCATGCCGATTCCACCGAAACAAGGGACACTCCACCGAAGAATGCTCGGCGCTGAAGGACAAGCTCGAGGACCTTATCAAACAGGGTCACCTCATAAGCTTTATCACCCCCAAGACCACCAGTCAAGGGAAAGAGACCACCACTCTCGCGAAGCTCGTCTACCAAGAGACCGACATCGCCGATCGCGTTCGCCCGTAAGGCAAGATCGATCGCAGCGCCCCAGGGAAAACAATGACCGACCACGGAAGGTGATCAACACAATAGCCGGAGGTTTTGCCGCAGCGCCCCAGGGAAGACAATGACCGATCACGGAAGGTGATCAACACAATAGCCGGAGGCTTCGCCGGAGGCGGGTCCACCTCTTCAGCACGAAAGCGACACCTTCGTGCCGTCCGATCAGTGAACAGTGTGAACCAGCCGAGGATGCCGAGGATGCCACCTATAACCTTTTCCGATCGGGATTTCCGTGGCGTCGACCCCGTACAAGACGACCCCATGGTGATTTCGGTCGAAATGCACAACTGCATCGTGAAGAAAACATTGGTCGACCAGGGGAGCTCGGCCGACATCTTGTACTGGAATACTTTTGTGCAGCTTGGAATCCCGGAGGAGAGCCTAGAGCCATACCACGAACCACTGGTCGGCTTCTCAGGTGAAAGAGTGATGACTAGGGCAT